GTGACTGGGGAGGCCAATGAAGTACAGTGTCATGTTCATGGACCCAGATTGAGATGACACAGAGCATTATCATGCTATAAAGGGATGCACATTGCCAGTAACAATACCCAGTTTGGCTGTGGATTTCAAATGATGATCAGTTGGTATTAAGGGGCCAAATGTGTGCCAGAAAAACATTCCCAGCAACATTAAACCACCACCAAAAGCCAGAAATGTTGACACAAGGCAGATCGGGTCTATGGGTTTGTGCCAAATTCTGACCCTACCATCTGCTTATAGCAGTCAAAATTGAGATTCTTCAGATTTCAGCTATCCAGTTTCAAAGAGCCTGTGCCATCCGTAGCATTAGATTCCTGTTTCTGGTGAATTTGGAGGAAACCTACACAGAACCAAGGAGAACATGTAAAACTACACACAGACAGTAACTCAGGATCAAACCAGAGACTCCCAAGCTGTGAGACAGCCACATTACCTGCTGCATATAAAAGTCTCCATACATAGGGGAAATTAACACTTTTTTAGCAAAATGTAACTTTATTTACAAAACATCCTCTACATGATTGGCATTTCTTCGTAAACACACAGAGTCGTCATCAACACTTGTATCAACATATCTGGTGTTCCATCACAACTTTGTGACAGCTTCCCGATCCAGCCATGAGAATGATTTCATTATGTTTTTCTTTTGTCAAAGGCATTCATAAATGCTATCTGAAAAATAAAAATAATATAAACTAAGTATAAAAAATTTTGGAAGACATTTAGCTAAAAAGTGTTAATTTCCCCTATGTACGGAGACTTCTGGGACACCATGTATATATCTTTGGGACATCTGTTTCCAGAAACTTTCAGAAACTGTATACGCTCTGTCTTTTAAATGCAAAAAAATAACAAAAATGTTCTTAAATGGAGAAGTGGAATTTAGTCTGTTATCTGCTAGAATCTTAGGGTTGGAAGCTGAAGTGCTCTGCATTCTGTAACCTTAACCATAATCCTAGCCCTATGACTATAGGTTTAAATAAAATGTTATATCCATATGTTATATACACGTAAGCTAAGAACATGAGAAAGTTTACATGTATATCTACCATTAGCATTTGTAGATGTCCATGTTAATCACATAAAATTTTAGTTGTGTTGGATTGGTTGTATAATTGGAGGATATACACTGTTGGTGCTTGAAGTAGTAGCAGTTGGAAATGATAACAGTTGTAGCAGGGTTCTGAGCAAATTTCCCTGCCTTCCTTACATAGTGTTCACCAGCAGGAATATAACTCAGTTGCGCCCCATCACACGGCTCCAGACACATGGATGAGGATGTCATTTTTACAATTCCAGTGCAACTCCTTCGTCTGAAAGCAATTGATTTTCCTCCCACCCTGCAACAAAAGGGCCTCCGTGCTTCCCCGCTCCATTCATCCATTGGATGAGTATTGGGTGTATAATTGGATGTGTGTGATTGAAGTCTCCCCAATAACCCTTCTATAACAGGGAGACACGTAGAGCTAATGGTGTGCCCACACTGTTTCCCATGACCTGCTCTGACTGTGAATCATTCTCCTGAGGTAGCTGGCAGGACATTACTGTAGGCCTGCTTCAGATCTGCACAGAGCATTGGCTGTGAAAATGAGCAAATTCGTTTATGCCATATCCTCAAATAGAAATGTTTTGCCATGCATGTATAAATGAAGATTTTTTTTTCTTGCTAACAGAGCTTGTGTGCAGGATGTGATATAGAATGTACTGTCTTCTATTCCTTCTATTCCCTTCAATTAAAATCAAAAAACATTTTCTGAGAATGGGAGCTTTAATGAACACAAAATAAAACAACTCCTGAGTGATGCAACAGAAAAACATTCACCCTGTCGTTGTGTGTGAGTTTGAATCCCAGCAATGCCACAGCCTTTTGTGGCAGGGAGTAAAGACAGCCTGTATTGGCCATGCTCTCAGGGAAGGAGGGATGGTATACCCTCTCCCCTGTCAAACACAGTGACAGTAGCCAATTGTTGGCCTCTGTGGGCTCATGTTTGAGGAAGAGGGTAGACAGCACTTTGCTCTGAGTGTGTTATGCTGCACTGTGAGCAGCAGTTCAAAAAGATGTGGTAGTTGGCTTCACGTGTCTTGGACGAAACACGTGCTAACCTTCACCCTTCCTGGTTGGTAGCTTTCATAAGATAGGGGAGAGTTAGCTAGTGGGTGCGAATTGGGGGAAGAAATTGACTTGAAATGATTCTCACAATAGTAAGGCTTATGTTTGTAAAAATATGTCCCAACTTGATAACAGCTGGGGAAAAAAACATGAAAACTGATTTACTAACAAGGTCTGTGGAAGCTTTTTCAAGTGAGAAAATACACCACACATTTGCAAGGAGCATATAAACAGAGTACACACTCATGCTCTTTTATTTTGTGTTTTGAAGTTTTTTTTTTGGCACATCTCACTGCTTTAACTGTTATACTTAACATTTAATTATGAATACATGTGGCAAGTTTTAGTTTCACTCTTTCAGCAGTCTCTCTGAGAGCCAAACTCTCCGCATTAGCAAATGCAAAAAACCTTGTTTACATCTTGCAGACAATTTATCAGAATGCAAACAAACGCCTGCTTGTTATGGATTGTATACACCATTTGTATACATTTCTTTTTTTTTGGGATGAATCGATAATTAGAAACATTTTTCATATGAGAATCATCTAGAAAATATTAAGGTGCTGTTTTTATATTTGTAAAGTGTGGGAAGTTTTATTTATTAAGAGGCCAGTAAATACAGAAAAAGTGCAAAATTATGAAAAGGCCACATTCCTGCCGATGGATCAGACTCGACGCAACTTAAAGGCTTAGTCAATTTGAGGCAAAAAAGCATGTTTCAGCATACAACCAGGGAAAGCAGACTTCTGCACAGTGGGCTGGAAATTGCCATATGTATTTCTCCTTGTCAGTTATAGAGCATAATTGCCTGTCTTTCTGCCAAAGCTCAGTGAAATTGGACAGAAATTTCACTCACAAATAATGCCCTCTAAGCATGCTTTCCTCAGCCAGGTGATTAGAGGGTCCTTCTCCATCTTTAGCCATTTCCACAGGATGTAATTGCTAAGAATTAGTACCTACATAGCAACTGAGTCTCATTCTGTGCTAGCTATGTGTACAGTATAACCACACTGCAGGTGTGTGTGAATGTGTATGTCTGTGTGCAAACCACAGGTTCATATCCTGTGCAATTTGATACTCAATTCTGGAAGCACATTTTCTCTTATTCTTCTGAACACTAAAAGTAAAAGGTATGATCTATCATCAGTACAAAATTGGCATCAAGTGATTATTAATAAAAATAAAAGGCTTATCTTATCACATGAAGCACCACTGAGAAGATGAAATGCTTAACCTGCAGTATTCATCTTTTATATGATAAATGATTTTGTTTATTTTCTATATTTTTTACATGCATACCACATTAATCTCAGATTTGGTAAAAACCTTATCTGTTTTTTTTAATAGGGGAGCTGTACATTGGTGGTGTGGGGAAGAGCATGTACAACAGTCTGCCTAAGTTGATAGCATCTCGAGACGGTTATCAAGGCTGCCTGGCCTCTGTGGACCTCAACGGCAGGCTGCCGGACCTCATCAGTGATGCCCTACATAAGGTGGGCCAAGTGGAGAAAGGGTGTGATGGTGAGTTTCTGTTTCCTTTTTTTATTTTATTGTAATTTTCCCCATTACATCTGTAATTTGATCATTTGTCAGTTCCCACCCACTAGCTAACTCTCCTCTGTCATACAACAGCTAACAAGTGGGGAGGTTGAAATCTAACACTTGCTTCCTCCAAGACAAGGGAAGTACACTCACTGAAGGCTCAGTAACTTCACTAGTAAAATGCCAAACATAAGACTTTACAAAGATACAAGGAAAGTCCATGTTATTTCTGAAGAGTGTGCTAATTGGGAACAGGTAGAAGATTATGTCACAGATCATGTGACCAAGTTTGTATTTTGTTGTTTGGCAAAGGATTCTGGGAACTGTAGTACATGGAGCAGATGTGACAATTGGTAGTGTGTGTAGCTGTGCTACTGGGGATTTTAAACACCTCAGTGCCACTTCTTTGAGAAACAGGTGATTTCCAACCAAAAATACCCAGCTAACAGTGGTCCTGTGGTAAGAAAAACTGACTCAGATGAAAATTGCAGAATGATTAACACAAACTGTGGATGGGAAAAATTTTTGTCTACAACATGTGTCAAGCACTACTGCTCTACAGTTTGTCTGTGAACACATCTCACAGTGCTTAAGTGGTAGCCTTTTTTCTCCTAATCCAAGGGTAATTAACTTAAACTGTTGTATGTATGCGTACTCTGGTTTCTTCCATGGCTGGCTTGACCACGATCTTAAATGTGGGTTAAAATCAATGCCTGCGTGCTGCAATGATCACACTAGCATCTAAAACAATTCAGAAGCACATGTTTGTTGTGCTGGCAGTGGCATAAATTAATTTTGGTGGGTTGAGTAAATATAATGAAAAATTACCATGATTGTTTTCCTGATCTATATGTTAAATTGGTAAGTCTGACACACTTGTACATTTCAGGTGGATGTCAGACAACAGTAGGAGCGGTTATGAGACAATTTTTTTTATTTAAGGCACAATCTACTATCAATCTTTCCGTATTAATTCAGTCATTAATCCTAATCATTGCTGTAAAATACCTTTATGACAGTTCCACAGAAAGTAACTTAAAAAAATGTTAATAACATGGGAAAATTACATCATATATTATAAATCCTGATCTATTTTTCTTTTGCTGTAAACTACTTCAGCGGCTAATACTAGTATAAACTACTCCTTCTCATCTCCTCGTCTCTGTGCTAATAGTGTAGCTATTGGCTAGTTGCTTTCAAACAGAAACAGGATAAAATGCTTCATCTTGATTGGCTAATCCCTGTTTCTCATCACAGCAGCTGGTGTCCAAAAAATGTGATTATTCTAATCAGTATAATAAATATTGTTGCCTGGTCGTGGCCTAGTGGTTAGAGAATCAGACTTGTAAGCCGGCGGTGAACCTGACGGTCGTGGGTTCGAGTCTCAGGTCTGGCAGGGATTGTAGGTGGGGGGAGTGAATGACCAGTGCTCTCTTCCACCCTCAATACCATGACTGAGGTGAGACCCTTGAACAAGGCACTGAACCCCCCTGCAGCAAAATGCCCACTGCTCTGGGTGTGTGTGCACTTGGATGGGTTAAATGCAGAGCACAAATTCCGAGTATGGGTCACCATACTTGGCCACAGGTCACTTCACTTTCACTTAATAATCCATACATTAGTTTATGTTAGCTTTTTTTTTTCTATAGAAGCATCCTACAGTAGATTAAAAGTCTACACACCCCTGTTAAAATGGCAGGTTTTTGTGATGTAAAAAAACCAAGACAAATCATGTCAGAACTTTTTCCACCCTCAATGTGAAATTACAATGTATAAAAATTAAGTGAAAAACAATCAGAAACATTTTAGGGAAAAATAGGAAAAATAAAAAACTTACATAACCTGGTTACATAAGCGTGCACACCCTTTTATAATTGGGGATGTGGCTGCATTCAGAATAAACCAATCACATTCGATCTCATATTCAAAGGTAATTATCATACAGCTGTCATCAATGAAATTATTCTCTATTAAAGACCAGCTGTTTCTGTAGGATTTTTGCAGGAAAGCCTGTACAAGGTCCAACTGTTGAAAGGTATCAATCATGAGAGAGGTACAAAAATTTCCAAAACATTAGATGTACTATGGGACACCAAGAAGTCCATCATCAACAAGTGGAGAGAATGGAGCACCACAGTGACACCAAGAATAGGATGTCCCTCCAAAATTTATAAAAGGACAAGACAAAAACTTACCAGGGAGGCTGCCAAGAGACCTACAGCAATATTAAAGGAGCTATAGGAATATCTGACAAGTACTGATTACTCTCTGCATGTGACAACAGTCTCTCATATTCTTAACATGTCTGGGCTATGGAGTAGGGTGGCTAGACGGAAGCCCTTTCTCACAAAAAACATCCAAGCTCAGCTAAATCACCCAGAAATATGTGGCAAAATGTGTTATGGTCTGATGAGCCCAATTCCAAAGGTACAATAATTCCATAATTCCAAACGGTATGTTTGGTGCAAAGAAAACACCACATCACCAAAAGAACACCATACCCACGGTGAAGCATGGTGGTGGCAGCATCATGCTTTAGGGCTGCTTTTCATCATCCAGAACTGGGGCTCTGGCCCATCGAGGGGAGAAAATCATGAATAGCTACAAATTCCAGATGGTTTTAGTGCAAAACTTTCAGGTGTCTGCTAGTAAGCTGAAGATGAAAAGGAATTTCCCCTTTTAGCAGGACAGTGACCCAGAGCATACATCCAAATCAACAAAGGAATGGCTTAACCAAAAGAAGATCAGTGTTTTACAATGGCCTGGCCAGAGCCCAGCCCTAAATCTAACTAAAAACCTGTGGGGTGACCTGAAGCAGGCTGTGTACAGGAGATGCCCTTACAATTTGATGAATCTAGAATGTTTTTACAAGAAACAGGGAATAAAATATTGCCAAGCCAAGATGTGCCACACTAATAGACACTTAGCCAAAAATCTTTATAACATGATTTATCTTGGTTTCATTTTTACATCACAAAAACCTGCCATTTTGCCACAGTATTCTAATTTCCCAACCTTATTTATTGGTTATTATGAAATCTGTTTGTCCCATGTGCCTGGGCTACTGATTTGTCCACTCCTGTAGTCCTGTAGAGTGTACTCTGTTCTCATATCTGTGGTTCCTCCATTCCTCCAGCTGGCCCAGGCACAACCTGCTCGGAGGACTCATGCTCACATCAGGGAGTGTGTCTCCAGCAGTGGGAGGGCTTCACCTGCGACTGCACCATGACCACATACGGCGGCCCTCGCTGCAGTGACCGTGAGTACCTTTACACTCCTGAGTTCAAGAACCGGTGCCTGTTTAGCCGATACGTTGAGACTTCTAATTAGCTGTGCATATTAGACTTAGATTTGTGCACTTCAAACACCTTTAAATGTTTGAGAGGTAAAATATGCTAATTAATAGATTCTATTAGTGCAGTAGGAAATGAGGATGCATTGCATATATCTCCTAGTGACCTGATAATGCAAGGAGCTGTTATGTGGATTGTGTGTTATTTACTAATTATCCACTGAGATTTAGTTACTTATACTCACTTTTTTAACTATAGCACACTATTAAAATGATTCTAGTGTTCTAATGAATGTGCAGTGACACTGTGTATATAGTACTTTGATCATCTTGTCACATTTCAACAACAATTCTCCTGAGACATGCTGATCAGGAAAGAAACAGGAAAGATAGAATTTACTTTCCTAAACTGATCTGCAGGTGAGTGTGTATCCATGTGTGTGTGTGTGTGTATGTGTGTGTGTGGGCATGTTTTTATATCTTGGTGGGGCCAAATGTCCCCACAAGGATAGCAATATCTGACATTTTGACCTTGTGGCTGCCATGAGAAATATGTGTAGCATAGCATTAATTAGCTGCATTAATAATTACATCAGTGGAAGGTCCTCACAAGGATAGTAAGACAAGCATGTGTGTATGTGTGTTTGTGTTTACTCCCTTTGGATTAACAAGCAAGGAAGCAGCAGGAGGAAATTAATTGAGCTGTTAATGCTGTTTTTGTTGTCTGGTTATTGGTTGTTCCCTCCTAACAAAACTAAGAGTAATGTCACTATAATGGATGGTTCATACACACTGAACCTGTAGTACTATTTGTTATTCAGTGTGTACTCCTTTTCTTACTCCTGCTTAGCTTGAATGTGACCAAACTCCCGAATATCATCCTGTTATTAAATGTAATTTCTCTTTCAATTAGTGTCGACACGAAGCCTTTGCCCTTTAGGCATTTAAAGATAATAACTGATTTGCGTGGCTCCGTGCCTCACAAGTCATGCATATCAAGCAGCTGAGCGTCATGTGAAAGTGTCATATGTCTTGTGTAATAAAATGACAACTGGAAGATCAAGCAGCAGGCCTGATGTACCCCAGTGTTTGTTTGTTATGGATTATAGAGAGAGTGTATATACATGCACAAATGTTTAAACATAGGTGAAATGAAGAGGATTTGGTCATAGGAAATTTGTGCTAGGAAAATAATTCTTTTTTTTTTTTTAAAGATATTCCAGTTAAAGCACTCAAAGTGTCTCACAGTAGCAAGTCAAGGCTACAGCACGTTTGAAATTCAGGGAACCCTGAAATCAAAATTGGTGTTTCAGAGCTTTTTTGTCCCTGTCCTGTATGTTATAGACAAAATACCATAGTAAATCTAGAAAAAAGAAAAAAAAATTCTAATTTTATAGTTCATCACTTATGGGAAAACAATTAAACCTTTTGGATTTGATGCCTTGGTGCTGCATTCAAAGTTCATTTAAATTAATTTAAATTTAAATTTTACCAAGTACAGAATGTCCCTCCAAAATTGATGAAAGGACATGAAGCAAACTTGTCAGGGAGGCTACCAAGAGGCCTACATCAACATTAAAGGAACTGCAGGAATATAAGGGAAGTACTGGTCACTCCCTGCATGCAACAACAATCTCTTGTGTTCTTAACATGTCTGGGCTGTGGGGTAGGGTGGCTTGACGGAAGCCCTTTCTCATGGAAAACATATCACAGCCCAAACCATGTGGCAAAATGTGTTATGGTCTGATGAGAGCAAGGTAGAATGTTTTGGGCATAAATCTAAAAGATATGTTTGGCACAAAAACAGCACTGCATATCACCCAAAGAACACCATACTCATAGTGAAGCATAGTGGTTCACTATGGTGGGTCACTCTTCAGCTGGGACTGGCGCTCTAGTCAAGATAGAGGGAATCATGAACAGCTCCAAATACCAATTTATTTTGGCAAAACAAACCTGCAAGCCTCTGTTAGACAGCTGAAGATTAAGAAACGTTTCACCTTCCAGCACAACAGTGATCCAAAGCACAAATCTAAGTCATCAAAGGAATAGCTTCAGAAGAAAATAAAAGCTGTAAAATGTTCAGTTAGAGTCCAGATCTAAATCTTATTGAAAACCTGTAGAATGACATGAAGAGAGCTGTGCACAGGAGATCCCCTGATAGATCCGTGCAATCCGGTTATTGTAAGTTTTTCTTTTTTCTTTTTTAAACATATCTATTTGTTTTTTTCTTGAATTTTGTTGGTTGCTGTATCACATTAAAGGTGGAAAAAGGTCTGACATGAGTTCTCTTGGTTCCTTTTTTTTTTTTAACGTCGCAAAAGCTTTCCATTTTAACATGGGTGTGTAGACTTTTTATATCCACTGTATGTGACATAGCAAAGATGTGACTCGCTGTTTACAATGCAGGAGCTGCTAATTATTTCAGTGTCTCAGTTTTAAGAGCCATTTAATATAACCTTAAAGACCTCAAACTTGTTTTTGTCTAACCTAAAATAGCCCTGGAACCATTCGTCATAGTGCCACAGCTTTCGGATAAGGTTAAAGTCACTGGTAGTTTATAGAGATGATAGTCTCATGAACCCATTTTCTTGCCCTCTGTGTTTTGTCTTGTCGTTTCCAACCAAAGTGAGAACCATTTTTGTTTGAAATTTAGATATTTTTTGGATTTAGAAACATGCAAAATGGGCTATAGCGCTATGAATGATCTACTGTATGTTTTAACTATATCTTGATGACATAGCACCACTTCAATTATGGGAAACCAACACGTTATCAGGAAATTTGGAAATTAATCTTTTTAATGCAGCATACACACAGCAAGAACAGATCATTGTAGGGATGCTTACTGTATTTATCATTATAAATTTGCAGTGCTTTACTGATTTAACAATTATTTATACAGATTTTCTAAAATGAAAATGAATGGTTTGTTAATTAGAAAGTAGAGTAAAAGAAAAACAATCACTGGTCATAATAGTTGAGTCAGTATTAAAAGATGTGTCTCTGAATATTTATTTCACCAAAATCAGTCTGGAAGTATTACATTTTTTGTGATTAATTAAAATATATATGAGGATGAATCACAGTAAAACAAAATATGT